ATGTCATGTCTCCTGGTGGGTCTGGCCCTATTATTCTTTCTGTGCCTTGGCTGCTCTGAGCAGGAGTGTGGTCCTGAGAGCTTGGTGGGCCAGGATACAGTGTTGTCTTTCTCAATATGTTTTTTAAAATCTTCTATTTAATGGAGCATTTAAAAACAGGGTTTGATGCATCAAAGAGATTATACTTTTATAGAATCCAAGGAAATCTTTGTATTTATTTATATGCACATTTAATTTTAAAGCTTTTTTGAAAACATATAGTTCATGGCCACATGTGCTTTTCTTACAATCCTGAAACTAAACATCAATCAAGCCAGTGGAAGGGGCCATCTTCACCTTACCCCCCGAAAGCTCATCAAATAAAATCAAAGACCAAGAAGATGATCACTTGTTTTTTGTTTTTTTATTTGAGGGGAAAGTGCATTTGGAGTTTTTGCCACCAGGTTAGCCTGTTAATCAAGCTTTCTATTTAGAGATTCTGAAAAGATTGTGTAACAGTGTGCAACAAAAAAGGCCTGAATTGTGGCAGACAGGGGACTGGTTTGCCACCACAACAATGTACCTGTTCACACAGCCATCTCATTGTGCCAGTTTTTGGTGAAAAACAGCATGCTTCTCTTGCCCCATGTACCTAACCTTAGTTGATCCCACTCCTTGCAACTTCTTTTTGTTTCCGTGAAGTAAGGGGGACATGAAAGGACAGTGGTGACATAGAAGAGGTAAAGAAAAAAATGAGGGAGGTCCTGTTAGCCATCCAAACAGATAAGTTTGAAAAATGTTTCCAAGAATGTAACTGAAGATTTGACAAATATATTAAGTGTAATGGAGAGTACTTTGAAGGTGATAAGGTTGTTTAATAAAAATAATTTAAATACATAGCCCAGGGCCGGGCGGGGGAGGTGTCCATTTTTTTGGGGGGGTGGTATTCTCTGTCCCTGTGCGTGTGTGTATAATTCTCTGTTTTACTTTGTTGTTGTTGTTGTTAGGTGTTTTTCTCTTTGAAATGTTTTGTGTAAAAAGAAAATGTTTTTTGTATATGCAGTCCAGGATAGGCACACCTGTAGTGCCAGTAACTGTTCCAATGATTTCTTGGGGTTAGGGCAGGGTAGGTTTGCGGAAGTGGTGGCTAATAGCAATAAGTACTACAAGAAATAAGAAAATGCTCTAAAACTGATCGGGGTGATGATTGTACAACTCTTAATATGATTGAAATAATGTATTGTGTGTTATGAATGATCAGCCAATAAAACTTTATATAGATTTAAACTTTACTTCAGCACATGCTTCATCAAGTTCAAGGCGTGTGTGTCTTCAAGAAATTAATGGAAAATGGGATTAAATATACTGGAATTTTGGGGGCAAACTTTTGGAAAACTTCTGGTATAGGGACATTCTTACAAAGTTTGCTGCTGATCTTGGATTCATCAGTTTCTGCAGCTGTGTGTCTTGGGACTTATTGTTGTTGGACTGCAAGGTGTCTGAGAGAGTGTGTCACTGTAGCCAAAAACAAAGAAGACCTGGTTGATTTGAGAAATTCTAAGTTTATTTCTGCAAGTTTTTGCAGAAGGAAAACAGCCAGGTTTCTCCTCTGAGGTGTTTCAGAGTACAGTCCTGACCCCACAAATTAATATACAAGCAATGGGGGTGGGGGGTGGGCTGGACAATAATTTAGGAGATTGGCAAGTTTTTACAATGTCACAAGATGCATTTGATACTCTAAGAAGGTAGGTTCTACAATGATCACTACGAAATGATCTATACCAATGTTTCTCCAGGGGCCATGAGATCACCATCCCCTGAAGCTTCATTGTGCTCTTGTTTATCTAAATTGGGGTGATGTTTCCAGTCTGGCTACTTATCTTCCTGACCTTGTTAGTCTCCTTCCCCAGTTTAGCATCCCAGCTGAATTTTTAATGTAAGGGAGTTGTCTATTACATTTTGGATTTTAACAAACTAATCTTAAAATATATTATATTTCTAGTATTGATTTTGCCTGTATCATTATTAACATAGGAACAATTGTGAGGACGACACAGGACTGGCCATTGTTCTGTTACATTGCTCTGAGTTGGAACTGACTTGATGTCACCTAGCAAAATAATAAGTGTCTATAGTGTGTGAATCATTTCCTTGAGATGACTATCTCTGTATAGATAACACTTCAGGAAGTTAGGCATTGGGCTGCAAGGTCAGCAGTTTGAAACCAACAGCCACTCAGTCCTGTGTTGTCCCCATGGATGTCATGTTTGAGGCCATTGTTGACACCTATTTATTAGTCTTGTCTCATTTAGTATCTTCCAGTTTTTGTTGCCATCCTTACTTCTAACAAGCATTCTGTCTGAACTTCCTCTAAGACAGATTTGTTTGTTCTTCTGACAGTCCAAGGTATTTTTAATTTTCTGCATCAGTGCCTTCCTTCAAATGTATCAACTCTTTTGCAATCTTACTTCTTCATCGTCCAGTTTTCACATGCACATAAAGCAATTGAAAATACTATGATTTGGGTCAGCCACACCTTAGTTCTGAAAGTGATATCTTTGTTCCTTACTGTTTTAAAGAGGGCTTGTGTAGCAGATTTACCAAATATAATACCTCATTTGATTTCTTGAGCATGGCTTCCGTAGGTGTTGATTTTGGATCCAAGTAAAATGAAATCCTTGACAACTTCACTCTTTCGGTATTATCAAGTTGTGAGGATTTTTGTTTTCTTGATTGCTTAAAAATAGTGTTTCATTACAATGCACCCCCACCTCCCAGTGCATTTTGTTTATTCACCAGTTGATGAATTGTTTCCATTTAGGGTGTTAAAAATTATGTTTTCAGGGCATGAATACAAGTCCTTATGTAGACACATTTTAATTTCTCTTGGCTAGTACCATCTACCAGCTACTTGGAGGGAGAGGTAGCAATCTGCTTCTATAGACTCACTGTTTTGGAAGTCCTGTGGGGCATTTCTACTCTGTACTAAAGAAGTCACTAAGAGTTGGCAATGGGATATATGAAGTTCAATCTTTAGAAACAATTTTTTGAATTCCAGATTTTGCCAAGTGCTCCTTTATTAGAGGACTTAAAAAATTCATGGAAAAGTTCCGTTGTCTTTCAATTCTGTGGTCCCAGGAACTTTAGGAACCCCTTGCATATGAAAAAATGGAGGAAAGGTAATTTGGGGTCCTGGACCCTATAGAAGGTTCTTTTGTTTGTGTATTTCCCTTGTTTGTTACTTTAGGATTTAGTCTAAAATGTGATGTTTAATTTGGATTTTTTTTTTTATTATTAAAGAAACCAACCTTGTTATCCTGTACAGTATAGAGTAGAACTGGTCCCCGGGGTTTCCAAAGAGAGAATCTGTACAAAAGCAGACTGCCACTTCTTTCTCCCTTAGACTAACTGCAGGATTCAAACCACTGATAATTAACTTAGCAGCTGGGAGCTTTACCTCTTTGACACTAGGGCTCCTACCAAGGAAAGAGTTGGTGTCATAGATAGTGCTGTATTAAATATGCATTAATGAGTGGCTTACATACACACTGTTTTATTTATTATTTGGCCCACTAGAAATAAGTACTTGGTAAAATTAAAATCAGGCCATATCCTTTTAAAGAAAGACATTTTGATAGGTTGCTTGTGAGGGAGGGAATAAATCTAAGCTTGGTAGTACCCCCCTCTCCCTCCATACAGACCTGTAAGGAAGGTTGTGGCAAATAATAGCTTTGGAGGAAAATATTTATGCCATTCCTAAAATCGAAACACAATATATTTATATTTTGATTAGTAGAAGGGAAATTTTGTAGTATTATGAACATTTTAGAAGGAAACTAAACCCAAGTCTCCAATTACCCAGCCCCCAATTCTCTGAGTGATGATGCACGAGTTTTACAGTAATCTGATGACCCTAAAAAATACTAGAGAACTGCTTAAGTTATGGTGACCAGTGAATTGAGGCAGCTGCTAAAGACTCCTGTAACTGAAAAGCATTACCAATGGCTTTCAAGGTTAGTCTGTCTTTCGTAGTTGGATCATGAAGTTGAACCTGCTTGTCTGCTACAGGAGACTATAGTCTTTAAGAAGGCCTGCTGATAGACCAGGCCTTTTCAGGTTGCCCCAGTTTGGGTGAATTTAATCATTATTGCCAATACTACGAAAGTTCACTTCAAGATGGACTTGAAGACCAAAGTATTTTACTTTATAATGGACATACAACTTTCTAAATTTCCCATTAAAAAAAAAAAAAGAATAGTTTGCTATTTGAAGTGTCAGCTAAAAGCTTTCTGTAATGGAATTGTTTTTAAGATCTCTGAGTACATATAGCACACTATCTTTAAATAAATTAGAAGTTTTAAATGCTACCCCCCCTCCCCAATGATGGTTCCTTAAAGCAGGAGAATACCAATGATGGTATTAACATAGTTGAAATCTATTCATGACTTAGATTATTGCCATTTATGCTAATGTTAATTCCTAATTAGGTACGAGTTTTAATGGTATTAATAGAGGTCACTGGGACTTTGTGGTAATGAAAAGATAAAATAACCATGTGGTGAAATACATTTTTGCCTAAATAGAAACTTAAATACTGTAGAAGTCATAGATTTTTAAAGTGTTGTATCCTACTTTTCAAATCAAGATGAGATTTTTCTGCATAAGTAAAGTTCTCCTTTAAAATTACTTTTTTTAGAGGGGGAACTGGGCGCATGAGAGGGGCAGCAAATCCGCTTCAATGATTTAAAAGTTACACATGTTGTGATTATGTGAAGGAGTGATTATGATAAAGGATTTGGTGCTAATACCAATTTTGGCTCTCTGGTTTCTACCTTGAGGGCAAATGTACATAGCATCACAAGGTTTGTAGGAGTTGCCCTCAAGTTAGACATTTGTAACCTGGGAACTTAATCATTTTTCATACTCAATGCATTTTTAATGCTATTTCTAGTTGAAAATATTCAAAATGAGAAACTTGTTTCCATTTTAAGTATATTTATTCATTTTTCTTTCCTGAACAGATTTATGAAAATATGCATCATTTTAATACAGTCTTGGAATTCATGAGGTGGAAGCATAGATCAAAGCAGTTTGGAGAAGATTGGAAGTACAATTTTATTAGCCACATCTAGCCACATCTCTGAGGTAAGGAAAAGACATTTTAGAAAAATATTAACAGTTTTCCTATCACTAGCGCAAATAATTGATTATAAAATAGTATAATGCCACAACTTTATTTCGGCTTCTTTTTGTTTCTTTCACAGTCCTTATATGCTTATAAGTAATTCTAATATATTTACCCATCCTTATAAGTGTTGAATCTCTTTAGTATGAGCAGTATTTATTATTTCCTAATAATACTGTTATTTTGTAAGAGTTTCTGGTAGTGCTGTGGGAGAAGTGTTGAGCTTTAACCAAAAGGTCAGTGGTTTAAAACCACTGGCTCCAAAGGAGAAACATGAGACTGTCTCTATAAAGATTTCCAGTCTTGGAGACTTCTGCATACGGCCCCTTTGAGTCAGAACGGACTTGATGGCGGGGGTTGGATTGTGGTTTTGACTACGTTGTAACTGAGGACCCTGGATGGTGTACTGGGGTAATGTGCTGGGCGCTAACCACAACGTTCGCAGATTGAAACCACCACCTACCCCAAGGGAGAAAGACAAGACCTTCTCCTGTAGAGATTGGAGTCACCGAAACCCAGAGGGCAGTTCTACCCTGTCCTGTATGGGCCCAGTTGAGCTGTAGTGGCATAGTGGTTTACACATTAGACTATAACCACAAGGTCAGTAGTTTGAATCCAGATGAGGTTTTTTTGTTTCTGTAAAGATTGACAGCTCTGGAAGCTCAAAGGGGCAGTTCTACTCTGTCCTAGAGTCACTGTGAGTTGGAATTGGCTTTATGGCAGTGAGTGATACTGTCACTGTAGAAAATAGGCAGTGGTTTACTTCTTCGCCCTAAAGGTTACAGAGGAAAGTTACGGATGAACCATTTATTAAGAAATAGTTCTTTACAAAAATTGCATTAATTAAAGGTAGGGTTGCACAGTTAAAATCATTGTCAATAAGCTGCAAACCTATAAAAAGTTGAATTGACAGAAGTTGCAAGCTTTTTTTTTTTTTTTTTTTTAATAACAAAAATTAGAATACCTGCTGAGGCTGCTTATGTACAACCAAATACCTCATGGGGTTTAGTTCTTTGGTTTGGAGATTCAGAGTCATGGTTTCATGAGACATCTCAGTTAATTGGCCTAATGGTATATCTGATGCATCTATTCTGTATTCTGATGTGTTATAATGCTTGCTGGGGTCTTAAGAACTTGCATTCCAGGCACAATTGGTCTCTTCGTCTTGAATAGCAGGGGAAGGAGAAGGCGAGCCAACGGGAAAAGGAGACTATGGAATATATGGCCGATGTGCCTATGAAAACTGCCTCCTTTGACATGAGAACTAAATGGTGCCCAGCTACCATTACTAAACATTTTGATCAAACAGTCCATGGAAGACTTCTGATCAAACGTGGGTTGAGGGAGAGGAAGAAAGCACCACAGAAATTGACGTTTTTATGGATTCTAGACTTATGGAGCAATGAGGTTTGGATGAACCCTGAAACTATTGCCCTGGGATGACTTTTAAATCTTTAAACCAAAAATAGCCTCTGAATTAATTTTAAAACCAAATAATATCTTGGCTTAACTAGTAAAGCAAGATCTGCCTTAAACTTTAGGTTCTTTTAAGAAATATCTATATGAGATCCAATTCACGACAGCAACTTGAAAGATTAAATGGAAACCTAAGGGGGCAATGAGTTTATGTTCTTAGAAGAGGAGCCACTTAGAAAAGGAGGTTGAAAATTACACCAGAAGAATTTAATGTCGTTAATTTTTTTGATGTCATTAAATTTTATAAGTAGAAACTGTTGAGCGGGTACATGTTTTGCTATATATGTATTCTCAAAATACAATAAAATACAATTTAGGGGGAAACCCCCAAATGTTTATATTACTCTGAAACTCTCACATATTTTAGAAGAATAAATCTTTGTGGATAAAATTTTCTTTAGGAAATAGAGGAACTGCAAGAAGGTAAGAATAGGAAAAGTAACTTGTATAAAACAACACATATTGAGAAATAAAGTTTGTTACTTCAAGATCATTTAGACACTCAAATGGCTAGGCAAGAATTTTGTAAAATATACATAGCATTGTATATTTGCATTGTAAAATATACATAGCATATACCCTTTTATGAAGTGGTCTGCCCCTCCAGACATATGGAAACTGTAGGCTTTGCTCACTGCTTCTACCATCCATACATCTTTTTCTTCTACCAAATGAGTACATGTGCAGTGGGGGTGGGGGTGCATCTGACTTTTTAAATAGTTTATTATTTTTCACATATGTTGATTTCCAATATTAATAATCATTTTTCTTTACTTGAAGCTTCCTTGGTTTCCATGGTCCTATGCTTAATAACTTCTTAATTATTCCTTCACAATCTATTTTCTTTTTATTCTCTTCTCAAATAATTATCTTCCCAAGGCTTTATCTTTCAAATTCTTCTCTTTTCTTTCCTTGGAACTTTTCTAAACTCATGATTTTAACAACTTAACTACAAAATAAAATGATTTCTTCAACTTCATCTCACTAGTGTGACATTTCCAGCTGCTTGTAATATGACTTGGTGTCGTGATAGCTCAGACTTCACTCTTAAATCACTGTGGTTCACAGGCAGTGGTGGCTCCCCCTTCTCTTAATGGCTCTCTTTGTTGTCCAGGCTCACAGTCTCAGTGCTGTATCTTAGTCCTCATCTTTTGCTTCTAACACTCAAAAGAGAGGTTAAGCCCTATCAGCTTGACTTTACTATAATGTTTCATGAATATTTTCATCATCTTGTTTCCAACCCCCTTTCCCCCCACCCATCTCCACACCCAGGTTTATAGTATTGTTAGGAAGATGTGTGTATGTAATTAAAAAGAACATTATCAGACAAAAGTGATGAATACCATAGGAGTAAATTAATGCTTCTAGAAAACAGGTAAAGTTATTTGAGTTGGACTTCGAAAGATAAGTAAAATTGAGATAGGGCAAGAAAGAATTAAAGGATCCACCCACTGAACATCAACGTCTTAGTTTTGTGGCAAAGGGCTGTAGCTCATTAAACGGGGAGGAGATGCTCTTTTTAACACATGTGCTAGCAAAGCTGTATTTCCATTTGTAAAAATATGAAATTGGCTTCATACCTTTACCGTGTACAAAAACTTAACTCAAGATGGATCAAAGACCCACTATAAAGATCCTCAAAGAAAAAATACTAAGGGGGCATAATACACTATTAAACACGTCTAAGAATGTATAGTAGCAGAAAATAAACCAGATGACGGAGCCTACCTGAAACAAAAGCATTTATGTGCGCCAAAAGACCACTTAAAGAGTAAGTGAAAGTTTTTGCACTGGGAATTTTTTTTGACAGCAGCAAAGCAACAGTGAACTGATCTCTAAAATGTATTGAAAATGTCAACACATCCACAGTGACAAAAAGGGAACGATCCATTTTTTAAATGGGAAGAGGATATGAATAGAGACTTTACCAGAAAAGAAGTGATGCATTGGAATTATGGTGTTGATGGAGAATGTTGATTATACCATGAATTGCCTGTAGCAGTATATAATCTGTCAACTTGGGAAGGGATAGAATCTAGCCTGTCAATCAGGTCGTAGCTTGATGACCTCATTTGGAGGCGCAGTGGAGATAAATAGCACACTGGAGGCCAGATACACCCTCTTTCTGCTTCTACTCCCTGTGAGACATTCCTGTTGACAAGTCACATGGGTAGTTATGCTGATGGAGCCAGAGCCCTGGAGCTGGAGGAGCCATGTGGAGACCCATATAGGTGCTGAGATGCTTTCACCACCACTGGGTCCACAAGACTTTCCATCCACTGCCCTGTGATCTTTCTGCATTTGGCTTCATTACATGACTGTGTGAGTCTTAAGAGGAATTTATGGACTAATATCAACATATGGGGTAATATTGGGCTTAAGGACTTGATATGGACTGGTCTGGGATGTTTTCTTAATGTACAATTGCTCTTTGATATAAAGTTCTCTATCTGACACACATATGAGTGTCTATGAACTTGTTTCTCTAGTCAGTCCAGACTAACATGCTGCCTAAAGAATGGACAAATCTGCTTTGGAAGAACAGCCGGAATACCTCTTAGAATTGAGAATGGGGAGACTATTGTGCATTTTGCTAGAAAATCTAAAGTAGTACTGAGATAAAGTTATAAAATGTAACATCGTGATTTGTGGTATGCCACAGAAGTGGCAATTAGAAGAAAATCTAGGTCATTGAATACATATATGGAAAAAGAAGAACCTATGACAAAAAATCCAAAGTTCTACGTTAGGTAATTAGAACAAAGACAAATTAAATCCAAAGTAAGCCGGAAATAAATACAGAAAAACTATAGCAGAAACCAGTGGATTTGAAAACAGGAAATTTTTTTTTTAATTAGCAAAATGAAAAATGGGTTATTTAAAAAGATCAATAAAATTGGTAAACCTTTACCCAAGCTAAACAAAGGGGACAAACAACCAAAATTATACACAAGTTATACATGAGGAACGATGGGAAATTATGGCAAAGAGGTGCCATCACTGTTGATACCATGGACATTATAATTTGATGGTGAGGGAATATCCTATAAAACTCTGTGTGTAGCAATTTGATAAATGAGATTCACAATCTACCAAAACTTGAACAAGAAGAAATAATAAACTCTATAGTCTTGGTTTTTTTTAAATCATTTTATTGGGGGCTCATACAACTCTTATAACAATCCATACATACATCAATTGTATAAAGCACATTTGTACATTTGTTACCCTCATCATTTTCAAAACATTTGCTCTACACTTAGGCCCCTAGCATCAGCTCCTCATTTTTCCCCTCCTTCCCTGCTCCCCCCTCCCTCATGAACCCTTGATAGTTTATAAATTATTATTTTGTCACGTCTTACACTGTCCAACGTCTCCCGTCACCCACTTTTCTGTTGTCTGGTCCCCCAGGGAGGAGGTTATATGTAGATCCCTGTAATCAGTTCCCCCTTTCCATCCCACCCTCCCTCCACTCTCCTGGTAT